TAATTTACATACCTAATGTGCCGAAGCAGATGCTCGCTGCGGGTGAAGCTCATATGGCAATCCTGATAACCAACGCAATCGAACCTCTTGGGTATGCCCGACTTTCTCGGAGACGTGCTGCTGGCGTCATTTGTCAGCCCACCAAAGTTGGTTCTTGTTGGCGTTTTTGCTTCGTCTCGATCCCCTATGGTAGGGGGTGCTTGGAGTTGCGCTTGCCCTTGCGCCGGTGCCTGTGCCTGTGCCTGTGCCTGTGCCTGTGCCTGTGCCTGCGCGGTTGGGACGGTGGTCGGACGCGGAGTGAGAGAAATCTCCATTGGAGACATTTTCGAGGGTGATAGGTAATGGGTGATGGACGATGGGTGATGGATGATGGGTGATGGGTGTTTGCGTGCGGAATCCGTCTCGGCGGAGTATATATGACGGAGGAGGCTGGGATGGCGGGGGGAAGAGGGGGGCGCTTTGGCGGGATGTCGAGGGATGGCGGGGTCCGATGGGCAAAGGGCAGAGACGTGGTATTAAAATCGAAATAAAAATAGAAACATATAATTCCGGGTGATGGAGAGCATGGAGGAGATGGTGGGTGGTGGCGGTGGTTGTAGTGGTAGTAGTAGTGGTGGGTGGTGGTGATAGTGAAGTGGAGTCGAGATAGAGTTGAGATAATCGAGGGTCTGTCCTGGGGAGGGGGAGAGAGAGACGGGGGGGGGCAAGGGAAGGAGGACGATCACGACGGCGGGCCGCCTACAAACAAGGCTGCGACAGGTCGGGATCGGGCGTTGAGTGACTCGGGAAAGTTACTTAGGGACTAGTTACCAAAGTGAGAAGTACTACGTAAGAGCGCTATATCCATATTAGATAATATATCCATAGTAGATAATATATCCATAGCAGATAAGTACCTAAGGATATCCCAAGTGCGTAGGAAAAGCTGGATGGATAGCGAGTCAGGATCCATCTGTCAAGACGGGACTCGGGAGGGCACAGACACGATGAGGAACAAGGAAC